ATATCAATGTAAGCATTGCCAGAATGTGTTAGCTAAACACTAAATAGTAGTGCTTTAAATAGCTGCATTCCTAATTTTTAATCAATGCATATGTAATTCATACTGTGTGGGTTTGCCTAAGCACACCAGGAGGGTCTTCTATTATTAGGGCATAACTTGCAGGAACTCTAAGAACAGCTTCAGAATCGCTCTGGGACCTAACAGCAAACAATATGCCCTCAATATTTTGTGACTGTGGAATGAATCTCCAGAGGATTCTGTTGATAAGATTCATTGTTGGCACTTTTCATATGACATTTTAGAATAAATTTTTAAAAGCATAAATGGCAATATAAAATCAAGATTTATAAACACTTTGGTGATAGAAACTAGCAGATTGGAATACTTGATTTTCTCCTTTATAGGAAGAATGCAGCAGAGATAGTTTTTTTCTTAAGCAAAGAAAATTTCAGCTCTCTGCAAAGCAATGTTATTGTCTTTGTAGATAATTTGATACCAGGAAATGCAAAGACATGGATATTAACAAAAATGTGTGAAAGCTTGTACAAGGGGTCTTGAAACAATCCATGAAAAACTCACATTGTAAAACAAAAATGCATGTATTTCTTTTCTCTCTCTTTCTTTCTCTCTCTTTCCTTCCTTCCTTTTCTTTTCTTTCTTCTTCTTTCCTTTTTTTTTTAAACTCTGATAAAAACCCATCTTTTCATTCCCTTTTTTCATGAGCTTTTAACATTGCCTTCAAATACATGATAAGCTCTGACCTTTAGGTAAAGTATGGATGTTACAGATTAGGATATGAAAGGCAATAGGACATCTACAATGACGGTGAAGGAGATACTCAGACTGCCTGGTTTAAACACGTAACTGTTGTTTCTAAGCTGAACCGCCTTGAATGGATTTCTTCATCTACTTTGCTTTAATCCTATCTACGAGATAGAAACATATCTCCTCTATTTTCAATGATTTTTTTTCTTTTTATTGGAAAGGAAGCTTATGGAGGGAGAAAAACAGCATTATTTTGAGGAATAGCTAGGACATACAATTTAAGCACCCACTTAGTTAAAATATTAGATATACCAGCTTCTGTAGGTACTCTTATTGTTACCATTTGATATATTTTAGGTTTAAGAACAATATCAACTACTTTCATGTCCCTTTATACCTGTAATTCTGAACCTAAATGAAATAAAACATAGAGTAATTAATTTTTCAGTGAATTCAGTCACGCAATTAATCAACCATTCATTGTTCGCAATCATCCACACAATACCCAATTCTCATGTGAAGCTTTAGAGGTGTTAGAATTGTTTTTTATTAAAAAAAAATATTATTTGGAGGGCCTAGCGAAATGGTCTAACAGCTAAAGTCCTCTCCTTGAATGTGCTGGGATCCAATATGGGCGCCAATTCTAGTCCTGGCAGCCCCACTTCCCATCTAGCTCCCTTCTTGCAGCCTTGGGGCCCTGCAACTGCGTGGGAGATCGGGAAGAGTCTCCTGGTTCCTGGCTTCAGATTGGCTCAGTTCCTGCCTTTGCATTCGCTTGGGGAGTGAGTCATTGGACGCAAGATCTTCCTCTCTGTCTCTCCTCCTCTTTGTATATCTGACTTTGCAATAAAAAAGAAATGAACCTTTTTAAAAAAAAAATATTTGGAAATCAAAGAGAGAGTCAGAGAACCTTCCATCCATTGATTTATCCCTCAGTTGCTTACAGCAGCAGTTGCTCGGTCTCGGCTGAAGCCAGGAGCCAGGAATTCCATGTGGATTTCCCTTGTTGGAAAGGCATGAATTTTTCATTCAATCGATCTTGCTGAAAAGGCCCTTATCATTAACATTCCATTGAAATTAGTCACTTCCTTCAAAAATCAGCTTTTGGATGACCAACAGTTATGTTCATGTTCCCATATTTTGGATATTACACATCACAGTACCATCTTAGTTAGTTTCTTGTAATTTTCAACGCTGTTTTGCAACATATCAGGCAAATGTATTTCAGTGTTTTCCTGGCTGAAGATTAATAGAAAAACTCACTGCAGGAACTATCTTCAATTTTTCAATTTGAAAAGCAGTTATTCTATCATTAACAAGTAGCAGTTGTCATCAAAGGCAGCACCAGCTTGAGGGAAAAAGCTAGGGGTGGGAGAATTCCTCGATGGAAAAGGCTGTAGGATTTGCATGGTCCCCTGAAGAACAGCCATACCTTCCCGTGCGCTTTGTGCCTTTAAGAGCAATCATGATTGTACTTAATACTATGTTTACATATTTAAATGAACGATTAATGAAAATTGTTCCCAATTATTAAAAAAAAAAAAAGAAGAAGAAGAAAACTATTTTGCGGAGGCAGTGGTGAATCTTCCCTGATGTGTCATGGTGGAGTCATTCTTGAAAACTGATGGGTAGAAAATTGAGTAAACATAGAGCCAATAAAGAAAAGATTTCTTCACACCATGTAAAATCAGCCCATAGATCAGCACACTGCTATGGAAAATTTTGAGACAACTGTAAGGCTTTTTTTCAGGATGATGGTATCTGGTTTGTAAGTACAGGCTGTGAAGTGCCCCACATATCAATAGCAGAGCTGACTGTTGCCACCTGTTGCCAGCATGACCCCGTTTTCCCCCATCCTATTCACACTCCATCTTTCTCGTCCTTTTAAGCATAAAGCACAACACTCTATTTGGTGAAGGGAACACATTAGCCAAGACTGATGAGTTCTCCTTCCAATCTTACAAGGGCCCGAAGAATCAGGAAATGCTCCCACTTGGCAGCTCCTTCTTTCTAGTTCTGCTCTCATTCCTGCCGTATTTGAACTCCCCAGACCCCTTCCTTCAGTCTGCAGAAAAAAAGCCATTTTATAACCAGTGTTCCTGTTCCTTAGTTTTAACTGGCTTCCCTTTCTATCACTATCAATACTATAATCCACTGCTGCCATTGTCCTTCCTGGTTCTATTTACTCTTTTACAAAAGAGCAAGTAAGTGCGAGGCTGCATAATGCTGGCTTTCCTGCTTACTTCAGATGCTTGAGAACCAATCTACCTCTATTCTACTGTTTAGTGTTTCCTTGAATTAAAATCATGACATCCCTAAGCAACAGTGGTTACATACACGAAGAATAGCTTTTCCTGAACATTCAGTGCTAGGCACTGAGCAAAGCATGTTCTTTACCTTCCTGTGAGTTCAATGCTATTATTATCCCTAGTTTATATTGAGGAAACTGAGAAAGATTAAATAATTTGTACAAAGATTCACATGAAGAAAGCCTAAATATTAACCACTCAAATAAGCATGAAGTATTCTTTCCCAGCAAGATCATGCTAGACAATACAGTGCTTTGGGGTAAGGGAGAAAAGCCAAAACAAGTAAAAAGGAATTTTAATTTTTAAGGGAACAATTATAAGCAGAAATAGTAGGTTAGGAGTTAACACATCCATCAGAGTCCATTTTTCTGTTTAAATATTTGTGTAATACTCAACTGAGTTATTAAACACAATGAGAATTTAGATGTCCAGAAGTGATTATGACTTACAAATATGAAAGTTCAACTATCAAGAAGGAATTTTATCAGGTATGCAGTTCCAGATCGAGATACCAAGAGATCAACAAAGAGGTTACACAGTAAAAGTTACGAGGTCAAAGTGGATCCAGGCCTCTGTGGAGACTCATGAAGATCTGGCTAGATCTGACCATCAGAGATAATCACTCCAGCACGTGTGATTCCGTCAGCAAGAGCCAGGAGAGGGGCACGGCTTGGTTTGCAGTCAGGTGGCAGCGAAGCAAACGTCAGAGTAAAGACTGATTTCAGGCCGACCCTGTGGCACAGCCCATTAACCTTCCGCCTACAGTGCCTGTATCTCCTATGGGCACCGGTTTGCACTCTGGGTGCTTCACTTCCGGCGCTGCTCCCTGATAACGGCCTGGGGTAACAGCTGAAGATGGCTCAAGTCCTTGGGACCCTGGCCCCCTGCCGAGAGACTGGGATAGGAGCTCCTGGCTCTTGCCTTTGGATGTGTAGCTTGGGCTGTTATGGCCATTTGGGGAGTGAACCAGGGGATGAATGATCTGTCTCTCTGTAAATCTACCTTTCAAATAAAAACAAAACAACAAACAAACAATAAACAAGAGACTGGATTCACATTGTCCAAAAGGCAAGAGAAAACAGGAAAGATTTTGTACTGGGGAGAAAGGACAGGATTAAAGCGGGGTTTGGAGAAGCTGACAGGTGGCCCAAAGAAGAAACAAAAACGAAAAGCAGGGCTGTTCTGCCTTAGGACTGACTTTAAGGCGAGAAATAGCCAGGCGCTTCGGGAAGCAGAGGAGCCCTGCAGGAAGCTCCGATGTGAAAGGCATTTTTGGGCGGCGGCGTCTTTGAATGGGAGGAGGAGAGCGCTTGAGCCCGGGACAGGCTAGAACTATGTTCCCAAACAGGCAGTGACACACACACACACACACACCGCTCTCCAAAAGCATGTCCTGGAACACCAGCCCTGGCCGGAAGACCGACTTCCATTCGAGTTACGCCTGTCACCCACAGTAACTGAAACCACCCACTTATCCGGCAGGTGACCCCACGGAGCAAACCAACTCATCTGGTCGGCGCTCGCCACCTCCTCCCGCGCCAGGTGGAAAAGTTTGGGGAGTAGTCCCAGGCAATCCAGGAGGTCATTCCTCAAGCACGACTCTGAGGTGTGCGCTCCTCAGAGGGAGGGTGACATGGAAGAGTCCTCGCAGGCAGACGAGATTAGGAAACTCCGCGCACTTTGTAACTCACCCCGCTAGTCAGTCCTCTACAGGCTCCTCCCCAGACATATAAAGGTCTCAGCCCTGGGCAGTGGAGCGCACTCGCCTGCCAGGCCCGGGGTTTAGAGCTGAGGCGCGGCCCCTGCAGGCTCTCCCGCGGCGCCCCAGCCTCAGCCCCGGAGCGCGTCCCGAGCTCCCCGCAGCCGCCCCGCCGCGCTCCTGCCGCCCGCCCGTGCGCCCGTGCGCTCTGCCGATGCTCGCCGCGGGGACCAGGATGGAGACGCGCCGCGCGGGCCTCGTGCCGCTGCTGCTGCTCAGCCTGGGTAAGCCCTACCTTAATCCAACCCCTGCGCATTTGTCATCCCCAAGTGCGGAGGTGTCCGCGGGGTTCAGGTGCACTCCTTTGAAAATGAGGCCTCCCGTTTGATGCTTTTTCTGTCTTTCCCAGGAGCATGGGAATCGGGGGGTTAAAAATGCCTTTCGTTGACAATAGTTACGGCTTTGTAGCTTATGCACGAAGTCCTGTCTCCTTACCAAGCACAAGCTTAAAAAATGGAAAAGGTTTTGATTTTTCTTTTGAAAATATGCTAGTCCTCGTGTTTTATTGCTTCTGGTTGGAGTGTGAAAGGAGTAGGAAGTGGATTTAAACATTAAAAAAAAGGAAGTGTAACGATTGCCTCCTCAATTTTGGCGCACAGCTTTTTAAAACCTTAGCATGGCTAAAGTTTCCAGGAGCGGTAGCGTGCGTCGGGGCACGTTGGCTGGAGTTCCGGTGGCAGCAGAATTAACACGCTCGTCGCGGGTAACAGGAGTGGAAAGAATTTCAACAGGTCCTGGCTCTTCCCACCGCCCATGGCCTTTACACCTGCTGCTTCCGGCTTTCTCAGCAACGGGCGCCTCCAGAGGCTGATCTTGGTACTTGCTGCAAAGTGTACCCAATAGCCCATAATCCCAGATGGCATTACAGTGGATCTGCTTCTTTGAGATGATTTTGTTCTTTGGGGCCAAACAAACGAAGTAACGTAACATAGTGACGTAGATTTTCTACACTGAGAAAAAAAAAATCAGTTTTCCCGAATCCGTAGGCTCCCAGAGGAGTTCAGAATTGTACTGGTGTATAAATATTTTACTGAGGAAATAAATTACTGATCTTACGTTCTTCCTGGAGTTGCAATGAGGTAAATTTCACTAAGTCACTGACTCTTTCACAGGGCGTGGCAGTTGAATTATTACTTCGACACATCTTGTCTCAGGGGCTGGGAGATATAATGAAATGCATACTATGCATAGTTGGAATTTACCCATCCAAAATTAGGATCACAAATAGAAACTGGCTCTGTGACTTCTGCCTAAACGGAGTGAAGACTGACTTGCTGCAAGGATCTCAGCGGACGATGTGCATTAACTGTGTGTGCTTTCAGATCTTTGTGGAAAGAAGCAGAGAAGTGACAGTTTTCCTAGAGTTAGACATTAGCCCAGAGGTGCGAGAGTGGCTTAGCGCTTTTTTTTTGTCTGTGTCTGCAGAGTGCAAGTATCTGTTCTTGGCATCTCACTGAGCATTCTAATTTGAGACACTGAGGGCCTACGAATAACCTGGTTACTCCCCACCAAATATGTATGTGTTGTGTGTTTTTGTTGTCATGAAAGTGCTTAGCTCCTTTATTGCATGACTTAATTACAGTTCAGCTATTTCATCAGCCGCCAAGCCCATTTCCAAATGAGCTAGGTCAGTTTCTGTTTTCCCAGTTTGTTTAAGTATTTCTCTGCCACCAGGAAAGTTCCTGCTTGAAGTTCTATGTCATATCTTTATGCTTTACCCAGATAGGAAAACTCAACAGCTTGGTTCTAAAACACCAGGAGAAAAGGCAAGGTCCTTTCTCCTAAGGTTGCTTTTATTTTCCCCAAACAAATCACAACCTAGAAATACTTTTCCCAGACTCTGTCCTTTGGAAAAAATATTTATTTCAAATCACTGCCTTCATTCTAGTGTTGTAATTTTGTGTATATATACTTATGTAATTTAGTATATATACATATATATGATTTTTTTTTTTTTTTTACTTTTATTGGAGGGTCAGATTTACAGAGAGAGATGGACAGAGAAAGAAAGATTTTCTATCTGCTGGGTCAATCTCCAAGTGATCCTGTGGCCAGAGCTGAGCCAATCCTAAACCAGGTGCCTGGAGCTTCCTTGGGGTCTCCCACGTGGGTGCAGGAGGCTTTAGGCCATCCTCTACTGCTTTCCCAGGCCACAAGCAGGGAGCTGGATGGGAATTGGAGCAGCAGGGATATGAACCAGTGCCCATATGGGATACTGGTGTATACAAAAAGCAAGGATTTTAGCAACTAGGCTACCACGTCAGGCCCAGAATTTACATATATTTATGACCATGGGGGGAAAAAATTCAACCTCCACCTCAAACATATACAGATTTAAATTATTATACACATGCATAATTATTTAGTTGCTTCAAAACATTTCTTTTAGTTTCTTTAAAGATTTTAAAATTTATATTTGAGAAGCAGATTTACAGAGAGAAGGAGAGATGGAGACAGAGCTCTTCCATCCAAGGGTTCACTTCCCAGAAGGCCACAATAGCCAGAACTGAAGGAAAGTCAGGAACCAGGAGCTTCTTCTGGGTCCACCACATGTGCGCAGGGGTGATTGGAGCAGCGAGCTGGATTCAAAGTGGAGCAGCCGGGACCAGAACCAGGGACTATATGGGATGCTGGCACTGGCAGGCAGAGGATTAGTCTATTATACAATTGTACCATCCTCTGCTTCAAAATTTTTGATATAGATTTCTTGTTTAATAGATTGAGAAACTGTTGTCCACATTTGTCTAAAATAGGAATTCACACCCGAGTACGATGGTACTTTTAGCCTATTGGACACTAGTAAGAGGATTGGGATACTTTACACTGAATAGCACTTGTTTTCTCAGTAACCTGAATTTTGGAACCAAAGTTCCTCTTCAAATCTATGGTTTGGTTTAGACAAGACTTTTTTTTTTTCTTTTTCTTTTTGTAGTTATGTTTGGAGTTGCCCAATGAAATCAAGCCTTTTCTTTAGTGCCCAGATAGGTGTTTTGGAAATCTTCCTGAATGATATCTCCAAGACAATTTCATCCAACTTCACCACACCACGACACACAATCCACAGAATAAGCATTCTCTCTTCAACATACAGAAGTGCAGATTGCAGCGGACAGTTGCCTTGCCTTCAATCATCACTGCTGACCCTGAGAGTTTATGAGTCTTGGCCCAGCTGGGGTAACACGTCTTGGCAGAAAAATGTGATGACAGGCCTCTCCTGTCTGGAATCTGACTCAAGAACCCTAACTGTACTCTGCAGCGCCTTGCATGTGAGCCGCTTGGGAAATCTGGGTGTCTGGTTCTAGGGGCTCAAATCCAGGAACTGTGAGGGGTTAGCGATTACCATATGCTTACTGTGTGCCAACTGTATTGCATGTTAAGTGCCTTACACACATCACCTCGTTTACTGCTAAAATTGTGAAGCAGGTAGGATTAGCCCACTTGTGAGGAAAGAAAGGCTAAGGGAGCTAAAATTCCTCACCAGGGATTTGGGGTAGTCAATGTCAAGTTTACTCTGCAACAACTTGCAAGGAGCCAGTGAGCCTCGGGTTAGCAAGAGCACGGTGACGACAAGCTTCCTGTAGAGAAGTTCCCAGGTGTCACGGAGCTTTCCCATGCTTTACGAGTTGTTAAGGGACAGCACATATATGAATAGAAATAGGTCTTCTGATTCATTTCAAAATCCCTGGACAGGGAGCACGTGACTTTTTAGCTTTTGCTAAAACACATTTTTACCATCCGTTGGTATTTTTCAATGAACAGAGTTGACGACTAGAATGTGAAGTTTATTATAAAGCAGTCATTGAATGTAGCCCCCTGGAATATTCATTTCTGCGTTTTCCACAATGTTTATTAAAGCAATAAGGAGAAGGATATCTTACACCATGTTTTCCTTTGCGTCTTTATATTATTGTAAATTGAATACAGCTTCTATAAGGAATCAAGGCAGTGCTACCACTCACTCCCAATACTATGAGCAGGTAGGTACATTTCTTTAGTTGAAAATAAAATCTATGATCCTCACAAAATTGCTTTTGGAAACTTGTTCTGTGTTTTCTGCTCATTTTCGAACAAGCATCTTCATTTCCTGCTCAAGAGTCACCCAGGAGATCTGTCAAATAAAAAAGCCACACTGACGTGATTGTAGCTTAAGAAGTTGTTTTCAATAATATCCCTCAACCTTCACTCTGCATATAGGTCTATGCAGATTGTAAGTGATGGCTGTTAGGGACGTTCCATTGGAAGACAGTGGGAGGACAGCCCAAAGTTATAGTAGGAAAGGCGCTCAGGGAGCAGTGGCTTGGCAGCCTTCGCCTTGCTAAGGCAGTTCCAGAACCTTTGGTAAAGGAAGTGATGAGACAGAGTCAGTGTCCTCTGGTCTTAGAGTTTATGTAAGGATAGGCATTGGGCTACAGAGCAGATAAAGGTTCAATTGCATTCCAAGCTAAAGTAATGACTGCAATAACTATGATACTACTTAGGATATACAGGATGCATTCCTGTTTACTTATGTTAGCTTTTACAGCCTTGAATTAGAGGCATAGTGCAAAGGACACAGGATTCACAGTGCAGTTCTATTATACTGCCAGAAATATTTATGCTTCTCTAAGCCTCACTTTCTTTACTGGTGAAATGGAAATCATGGATCATGTCAGGTTAAGGGATTTAATGACACTGATGAATGATAAATAATGTTTCTTTAAACTTATAGATGATCATTATTGTCATTATCATCGTTAGCAAAATATTTTGTCACAAAAAGATCTCATTTGGTTCTTACAATCATACCCTTTCAGTGAGAATGTGTATTGGCACTTGCATTTTGCACACGAAAAGGTACACTTAGGAATCAGGCCATCAGTAAAGCTCCATGTGTCAGTCTGTTGAACTCTGCACTGTGCAGGCTTCCAAATCATTCTGTATGATTGCTGCAAGTTCTCCTTCCTTTTAACACTGAAGAAAAGTGCCATTTCCCTTCGGCAAGGCTGGTAGGCCCAGGTTCCTCTGCTCTGTTCTGCCTTTCCCATTCCTTTGGTCCCACCCTGGTTATACCACACTGTGTACATCCAGGCTTCTGTCCTCATTCCTTCTGTACTCATCTTTTCCATTCATATTGTAATAGAATTAGATTCAATGCCCAATAAATATTTGGATTGACCTTGAAGTCAATATTCTTTTAATACCAAGTTTTGACTCAACCATTCTTTTAAACAATTTTCAAGAAGCC